TAAGAATTTCCAGACACCAAACAATGGAAAATTTTCAAGAAATCACAAGACCCATTCTTGTGTAAAATGCTGAGTTACATTTTTCTGCAACAAATATTAAACTGGCAGAACACCACTTTGTAATTAACATCCTTTATTATTATGAAAAGCCCTTATTCTACAAAAATACCACAGAGGAAAATTCAAGTGGCTTTTTAATCAATGGCCATGTGAATAAGATTGATTATTTCAATTCCCAGTAAGTTTAGAAATCCTTTTTGCAAATGTAAAGAGCAATTGGTTTATACAACCAGAAGAGTGGCCCGATGATAGGAAAGGTTAGGTTGTTCTTGGAATAGAGTGGGTGGGCTCCTAGCTCCCAAGCTGAATAGTCACTGACCTTTAATTTGTTTAAGTTTCCAAATATTAAACTGAAATTTTCTAGTTGAACAGGAGTTTTTTCTAGTATTTATTCTATTTGTTCAGCTGAAATTGCTGTACTCAACTCTGCACCTTCTCATGTTAAAGAGGTTTAAGCAAGCATTAAACCAAATGCTGGCTACAGAGACCCTTTTGAAACCCTCACTAATGCAATGTAAATCTCTTCAAGAGAAGGATTATGTTCAACAAAGGTATTCTTTTGTGAACAATAAAGTAAACTAGAAAAATTCCTAGAATTCCTATACTAGAAAATTTTCCTGCCACCCGCAAAATCTGGGGATTTGTGGCTTAGACTGACAAGACTATGAAGGTTGATATATCTCAAGTTCTGTGCTGAATGCCATGACATAAACCACATGTATATCCTGTGGCGCTACCCATCCACCACCTTGGTACCCATATATATAATTTGTGCCATTTTGAAATTACTGCCAATTCACATTGCAGGCTCCTGTGGCTGTGGAGAAAATTCCAGTTTCAGAAAGTGCTTTCTCAGTGCTCTATAGAGGTCAATATTGCCACAACTCTGTGTCAGCTCACTAAAGTGAATTTTTAGTGAATTACGCTGGATGAAGACACCTTGCTGTTAGAAGTGGCTCTGGAGTTTGGGTAAAACAGTTGAGTTACTTGAATCAAAAATGCTGGGTGTGCTGATAACAGCAATGACTGTGTTTACCTGCTCAGATTAATGATGTACTAATGATTTGTCTATTCGAGCTAGGTCTTATAAGTTCTCATAGACAAACATTATAACTTTGATAGCTTAGCTACCTCAGGTGGCATAAAGTTAATAGGATGGTTCTTGTGACAGTGCTGGAAACAAAAATTTTTAATAAAAGGCAAAATACAAAAGCTCTTTACAGAGGAAAACTGAGCCAAGGCAAGAGGTTCTTGCTGCTGCTAAACCACTTCACAAGAGTTATTTACTTCTTTTGTTCTCTTCTTTTCTAGTGAATTGTTTAAGCAAGAATTTTTAGCTTCTGTCTAATTGACTATCCTTAAGTTTGAAGTGAAGTCTCTATAGAAAATTTATGGTGTCTTTTAATCAAATTGAAGAGAGAAACTTCTAAGCTTTTGTCCTTTTTAAGGAGACAAGAAGTAACTTTTTTACTCTGTCAACAGGGAGCACATTCCTACAATGTACCTTCTTTGAGACAATAGCTTTTTTGGGAAGACATGGAGGTGCACAGTTCCTCTCTGAACTAAGCAGCTGTGGGTGGTGCAACAGGTTTGCTGCAAGGTCAACAACACTTGGCAGCCTACTACTAAATTCAATGTACTAAAGCAGTGAAGGTGATATTTCTAAAATGATCTGATGGTTTTGTGCAGCAGTTCTGATTCAGTCATTGAATTGCCCTTGTGTTTTCCATTAGATTTCAGTTGCAGAGCCTGAAGAAACTGTCACTCTTTGTCACAAAGTCACAAGTCTGTGGCAGATAGTGATTAAAATAAATAGACCCTCAAAAGTAAAGCCTGCACTATTTTTCATAGTAAGGGGCTCTTGCAGATGTTGATTTATTGGAGACTTAACCATTGTGTTCACACTGGCAAACCTAAGATGTTTGCAATAGAGTGGTTAATGAAAATCTTCAACTGCATCAAATAACACGATTTTAAAAATCAGTCTTTAGGGAGGTTGTGTACTCAAAGATTTCTTGTTCTGCTGCTTATCCTTATTGCTATTTCTAAGAAAGCTGGAAAGGTTCATCAAGCTTTTGAGGTAGACATTTCAGACTACTCTTTTTAGAGCTATTGTTGAATGTACATCACTTCTGCTGGTTCACCCAAGGTAGCTGTCACTGTTTTTTCTTCCAGTTCAGTTGCTCACAGGATGACTCATTTTTTTGTCCATCTTTAAAATACATTAAAAAGAGCTTTGAGAGAGAGACTTACGGAACACCAAATCACAAGAGTGAAATATATTTTGAACTGTACCATTATACCTCAAATACTTTCCTATTCTGAAATATAAAGAGAAGGATCTAGTAATATAAATTTGTTCATGTGTAGTCTTTTGCAACCTGCTGAAGAAATGGCAGCACATCACGAAACACTAATTTCCATGTCACCTTGTATGATGATGTAATTCCCTTGCAAGAGAAGTAATTTTTCTGCAAAAACTAAACTCTTCTGCTTAAGTGTATTTTCTATCTACTCCAGTTGGTTTTTTTCAACTTCAAACTGTATATTTCAACTAATAATAGGATATTAGTTGAAATATTATTTTATCAGTTGGAATAGTATTTATATTATTATTTATATAATGAAAATCTTATTTAATACTTATGCAAAAACACATTTCTATAATATTTTTATCTGTCCTGTGGAATTACAAAATTTTGAAAATATTTTATAAATTATATCAAATATAGATATCCCGACAGTTTTCTGCTTGTTGGTAGTATCTGGAACTAGATGCTTCAAATGAAGAAGCTGTAAGGTTGCTTCTGCAGGCAGATGGATAATGTGATTGACATTAGGTCACAGTGAATCTCCAATAGATTAAAATGACTTTGAGTCTAAATCTCAAAATGTGCATCTTAATGGTTTACAGCAATGTTGTTATCAAATCCATGGATGTTTACACAACTGTAGAGTTTCAGCCTGGTTTTTATCAAATTATTGACCTCTGCAACAACTAATACAAAATCACTCATTTTCAAGTTTTCTACCTTTTCTTTTTTTTGTGTGTCATTAAAAGACCCTCAGACCCTAATTTTGCTTTCTCTACACCATTTATCTTGATCTGTTTATTATATGCTTTCTTTGATTATTTTTAATGGTAGTCTCTGAAAATATGGCAGATAATTAATGGGCACGCTTTTAGACCGAACTGAAAAATTTTCCTTTAGTCAGAAAATTCCTTCCAGTCACAGTAGCTAAGTTTCCATCAAATTAATAATATGATTCTTTACTTCTCCTCTGAAACTTGTCTTTAAAAAATATAATGCTTTACATTAACAATGAGAGGTTTCATTTTAAGTTGCTTTCAGAAATTATAACTTGACATAGAAGATACTGACTTAGAGGTTTAGTTAAGACATTGAATTGATGTAGATATTATTAACACCATATTTAGTTGCAAAAGGTCATTCATCTACAATTGTAGATCATTTATAAAAAAAAAAAACAGCCTTCACTTAGCGATGTCTGTGAAAACATTCTCCAGCCCATTTGTGCCATTGATTTGTGCTTTTTCAGACAGGCCCCCTGTGAGAGAGGGGTTGAGGAGCAGCTTCTTGCAGTGTGTAAAGAGCTGGCAGAGTAATTATTGAAGGATTCAAGGTATGGCTTTATCCTGGATACACACCTCATATAAATATGATATACTTTATGCAATTATATATATATATATATATATATTTGATGAAAGATTTGAGGCATGGCTTTATCCTGAATCATTGCTGGGATCATTTCAAGATACCAAAATCTTGGTAAATCATTAGCAATGAGCACTGGCAGCCCAGAAAGGCAGCTGGGTTTGGGCTGCAGCAAAGCAGGGTGAGCAGAGGATGGGGAGGGGATCCTGTCCCTCTGCTCTGCTCTGCGGAGGTCCCACCTGGGGCTCTGCATCCAGCCCTGGGCTCCCCAACAGTAAAAGGGCACAGACCTGCTGGACTGTGTCCACCAGGATTAGAGAGATGGAGTAGCTCATGTACAAGGAAAGACAGAGAGAAGTGGGATTGTTCAGTATGGAAAAGAGAAGTAACCTAACTGTGCCTGAAAGGAGCCAGTGAGAGAGATGGAAAAGGACTTTTTGTCGGGGGTGCAGTGGCAGGACCAGGGGAATGGCGCACACTGAAGGACAGTAGGCTCACATCAGATATTGGGAGCAAATCCTTCCCTGCCAGGGTGGGGACGCTCTGGCACACATTGCCCAGAGGAGCTGTGGCTGCCCCATCTCGATGGGTGCCTCTGGGAGAGCGGGGAAGGCTGATGCCTGTACAAGCCCTGCCCTGAGCTATCCATGTCCCAGTCCCTCTTGTCAGCACTGCACGATCCCACAGAAATAAGACAAAAGGTCTGGAGCATGGGACCACTGATTTCAAACCCACCTGCCTGCCAAGGCAGCTGATGATCACACTGCTGGGATGCAGAGCATTAACATTTGCTTCAATGATGTGTATTAACATCCAAAATGACACATGAAAATAAGGGTTTGCAGCCAGAGATGGTTCCTGGCCAAGGCTGGAACTTCACACAGCAGAAACAGGACAGGGCCAGCTCCTTCCAGGTGTCCCATGCACTTCACTGGAGGCTGTGCATTCCTGATAGCCATGCACAACACAATTCTTCTGGCTATCACCTTCCTACAGACAGTGTAATGTTGGAGAGAAACCCAAGCTAGGTGCCCAGAGAGTTGGAAGATCTGCATGTCTCATCCCTCATCCCTGTTTCTTGCTCTGGGACAGGCTCAGTCCAGGGCCCCGGGGCTCCCTGCTGGCTCCAGACGGATCTTTTACCATGAGGAACTCCATTCAGTATTTGGATGTGGTGCATGAGCAACCTCATAGTAAATTACAGATGTGCCTTCATCCTTCCAATCACACCTCCCTCAGAAAATGATATCAGACATTGTCACTGCACTTGTCTTTGTCCAAACCCACAGAGTCTGGAATTAGCTTCCCTGTCCTTTGAAAGACTTTTTCAGTTGTGTCTTAGCTCAGCTCCAGTTCTGTGATTTTGCCTGGGCCCAGGTCAGTCGCAGCACTGCCTAAGAGTGACCTGCCCTGACCAGATGGGTCTCTGGGTACTGGGGCACTGGAACTCTTCCAGCCTCTTCTCTGCTGTTCCAGGGGTGCTTAACAGCTAACAGATCTGGCCAGAGCTCTCTTCAGACACTCCCCAGGTCCCTGGGATGCAAGTTCTCCAGCTGATTTTAAAATATGGATAGCTAGCTGGTGGTATTTGGCTGCTTGATAGACAGGAAAGAAAACATCCTCTGTTGCTAAGAATTAGTTTTTTGTCTTCCTTCTGTCAAACAAAGAGGAACGATGTCTTGAATACACCTGCAGCATAGCAAATAAAATTCCAAACCTGCCTGCCTGTGCTGGGCCTGCTGCTAAGACACATGCACAAACAGTCTTTTTGGTTCTTCAGAAAGATAAAAATGCCTGTAATAAAAATGACATAAGTAATATCGTCTCTCAAACTGTTCTAGAAAAGGGAAATTGGAACTTTAAGTTCCCACTGAGAGATGTTGAATCAAATCTTCCCCGAGTTTGCACCCAGTAATAAAATACTGATTTTTTTGACCAAACAAATAGGTCTATATGAGGACATCTCAGGAGGCTCTCATGGCGATGCGGACGGAGCAGAGAAGAACGTTAAAGGTGAAGTGTTAGTCCCCTGAATTAATGCCCTGATGGAGCCAAATTTTTTTGCATAGAGACATAACAGCTTCTTCCCCTTGTTTCCGAGTGTCTGAGTCACCCTGTAACTCATAATCTGCACTAGTGCAGATCAATCTGACACGGGTAAGTAACACATCCAGCTCCTGTGCTCCAAGGCACATGTCTCCAAGGTAAATGGAAGTCAGGAATACAGACACAGCTGTGGAAGAAAGAGGAGAGAAAAATCAGAACAGATATGCTTCTATTTCCCCACAGGATTACCAAGCCAAGCTGCTTGGTACCTCCAGGACTATGTTTTCAAAGAGTTCCCTAACTCTTTTCCTAGCTGGAAAATCCAGAGTGGCTTTGCCCATGCAAAGCCAACGATCCTACTCACAAGAAGGAACAAACCAGTTTCCTGTTAAATAAAGCAGCTGGAAATCTGACCTGTCAGATGCTCTCACTGACCAGCAACAGGGATCAGCATCCAGGCCCAGTGGAGCTGGGCTTTTTTGCAGACTATTCTCCCTCTTGGATTTATATTTCCTTTACACCTTTTATCCCAATTTTGTCCCTGAAAGGGAAGTTTTCTTAGAGGGAGTGGCAGTGTTGTAGTGTCAGAAAACCTCACAGTGTAATCACGCTCTGTGCTGCCCACCCCTGCCCCAGTCCCACCAAAGACACAGCTTCTGCTTTGGGAAGCCACGAGCCTGGGTGGATACGGGAGAACTGATTGAATGGATTAAAAAAGCCACGGAATTCCCTAGTTGCTCCCACCACTGCCTTGTAACATGAGTGATAAGAACAAGACAAGTCACCTGTCTTGTCCGCATCCTCTTCCACCGCTGCTGATAGGCACAGAGATGTCAGAAGCTCGTGGAAGGTGCTGAACAGGCCCTGCTCCTCCATTAGCTGCAGCACGATGGAACTGAGCCCACCGAGCTGCCTGGAGAGCCCAGCCGAGGTGCTGCTGGCCTGGCAGGGCGGGTGCAAAGCTTGAAGAGGCTGTTCCTCAGTGTCTCATCCCTGAACATCTCCCGCGCGGCCGCCGGGTGTGGCAGGACGCGGTTCCGCAGCCACCTCGGTGCTGGGGACACATCCTGCTCCCCAAGGGGCTCTGCCCAGCCAGGGACCTCACGCCACGCAGTGACAATGTGAACAGATGCAGAGGTGACAGCCGCTGCCTCACCCCCACCTTCACCGGCTCTGAGGGTCTCCCCTCCGTGTGTGGAAAAACAGGGTCCCAGTGGGCAAGGATGGAATTCAGGTGTTCTCTGCATTTCTCCAGCTCAGACATTTCCACATCTGCAGCAGCATCAACTTCTTCCACCCCGTTCTTTTTCTGAGTGTGACGATACACACGAGATGAGGCTTGAGGTTTGTTCTTGTCTTTAATATTTTCTGTAAGAAGATAACCACCATCAAAACAAACATCAGATACGCCAAAGGATTTTCCTAGAACAAAACTGTGCAAGCAAGGTGCTCTCCTGTGTTGATTCAGTTGTTACAATGGCAAGTAGCAGCCTCATTTAGCAGCCTGATGGAGCCTGTGCTGTTCAAAGGGGCTCCAGGAGCTCCAGGGACTCCAGGCTGGAACCCTGTTCCAAACTGGACCACCCAGCCTGGGCACGAGAGAAGCTCCTGAAGCCTGGAGCAACACAACCCACACATGCACTAAGTTACAGGCATCACTCCACAAACCACTTCACGTCTTTCTGAGGAGTTTTAAAGAGTGAAAAAACTAGAAAAGCTAGAGCTTTTTTTTAGTAGAAAAGCTAAAGCTTTTACAGAATCCCTAAATACATGACACTTTCTTAATGATACAGAACATTTAAACAAACCCACAGAAGCTTTAATGTGCACCAAAAGCAGCTGCTGCTGCAGGAAAATAGTGCTGCTTTAAGACCTCCCACTCCCAAGTTCCTTGCACTTTTTGTTCACAAAGAGAACAAGAGAAGTCACACAAGTCCTGCATTTTTTTCCTTTCTTTAAAACTGGTGACAAGAGATACCAACTATTACTTTTCGCTTGCTTTACTTACTTATTGTTTTTACTTACACATCTCTTTCAGATCCCTATTCACAGCTTTGAGCACAAAGCCTCCAGGCACCGCTTCTTCTCTTAAGATTTCATTAAAAATACCCTTTTTCAAAGCCTGACTCAAGATTTGCCACTAAGTTTCATTTTAAAGCTCTTTCCCTTCATAAACTGCGTTTCTCCAAGGCTTCCAAATTGTGTTAAGGTTCAAAATCACCACAAGGAAGATCTGAAAAATGCCTTTCCATTTCCTTTCCTCCTCCCCCAAGGTATATCAGTCAGACAGAAGGTGTTAGTACTACTGCCAGAGAAGTTTGCCTCATTTGAACTGCTGGCCTGAAACAGCTACAACAAAATACACCTTGCTTGAAGTATTTCAGCACTTACTATGCAATTCTTTGTTTTGGTCCTTCTGAACCAGGGTCTGCAGGTCCTCCTGCAGCTGCAGGTCTTGGCTGACAAGGCTCCACGTGTGCAGCAGCAGCAGCTCCCTGCTGGAGAGGATGCTGTCGCTGACCGTGAAACGCCTCATCTCCCTAAACGCCTCCACAACAGCACGGTATTCCAGCACAGAGCTGAGGGTGCTGAACAACTCACTCAGCTTGACAGCAACTGGGCATCACATTTTACTTGATTCCCCGTGTATTCAAACACCTAAATCCTCCTGTCAAAGCCATCCATCTAGCAGAGATAAAGAAAGCCTCCTGGCCTTAATAAAGTTTAAACAGGACAAAGAATGAAATGCAAACCTACTAAAACAAAAAACAAAACAAAGGACTTGCCAAATATGTTTGATTAATGTGACCAAAACACACAGAAATTCATTTACAAGCTCAACAGGAAGAAGTTTCCTATTCTCCTGGGATTGATTCTTGTCTTCTTTCTTGTCTTCTAAATTTGTTACTCATAGAGTATGGAGTAAGGAAATAATTTTATTTATTACCTTGTTCTCCAGAAACCTAAAAAACTAACGAAACCAACCAAACAAGCAAACACAAAACCCAAAAAAAAAAAAAAAAAAAAAGGAAAAAATTTATTTAAAAGGCATTTGAAAAGCATATTTGAAAGGCAGATCCTCAGCAGCAGCTGGTCCATCTCCTACAGGGGACCATATTCTATTTTTGTGAGGGAGAGGCAAGGGGAGGAGAAATAATGTTCTAGACAGCTCAAATCTACCACTGTGCCACCTCCCGTCCTGCAGGAGGGACAGGATGGAAACTGAGGAGGCTTGACATTTAAAAGGTAAAGACACCAGCACAAGGTGCCATTTTGCTTTTTCAAGGCAGTGATTTCCCAATAACAAAGCCCCCCCACATCATCCCACCTACCACAACCTGAAAGCAACTTGATTCTGTTTTCAAAAACACAAGGGAGGCCTCAGAGTTCAGCAAGTTCTGCCAGGGCAGCCCTTGGCACCCCTGTCTCCATGTCTGTCACCCTTGCTTTCATCCACAGCCACAGAATTCTTCTACTGTGGGCAGGAAAATTGTTCCCATTTCTCCTGTACTTCTCTGGTTACCTTTTCTCCAAGCCGGGCGGGACCCACGTCAGGAGGCTGTGATCCTCTGTCAGCTCATAGGCAGCTCTGGTGACACGGGCAGCACTTTGTAATATCTCCAGAATACAGCTCTGAAACAGAAAATGCAACTTGTCCTTTTACAGCCAAGATTTTCCCGCCCTTTTTGCCGCCCTCACGGGAAGCTCGGGCGAGCCCGCGGCAGCCGCTCCCAGCATGGCGGGGCTGCAGTGCCGCTCTCTGCCCACGAGGCGGCAGCACCGCCGCCCGCCACAGCCGCGGGCAGGGAAGGCGGCAAAAAAGAACGGGCGCGATCCCCTCCAAAACATCCTGCACGATAAATGCTCAGCTGCTGTGCGGGACGGGTTTGTCCCGGCACTTGGGGCTCCCCGGGATCGTGTGCCAGGGAATAAAGCCCGCGCCGCGCTCCCAGCTGCGCTGCCGCGGTTCTGTGGGCTGCGCTGGGCTCTGTTTCCCGGGGAGCAGCGGGGTGGGGTCCCTGTGCCACCCCCGGGGGTCGCACGGAGAAGCTGCTCCCGTGGTACGGCCGAGGGTCGGGGGAAACCTGAACAGTCCTGATGGAAACCGCTGGAAAAACAAGTTTGGCTCGGTTTTGACATTTTCCCCCGACCCCCACCTGGTCCAGGTGTTTTGACTTAGGAAACAGGAATAGGAGACTGAAGGGGTAATGGAGAGAAAAATAATTCATTACCCCAAAAGGGACGAGCTTATTTCTATTGATTTCCTGATGCACCTGGAATGATTTGAGTCTCAGGAGGCACCCGGGAGCCTCCTTTTGTGTCCTGGGCGGGCCGTGGTTATAAAAGGGTAAAGGTGGAGGAAGGGGGGTCCGGGGGGAGAGGAGCAGTGGTTGGGATCAGGGGTGCCCTGGGGATTTGCACCTGGAAGCGGCCGCCAGTTTCCTGATGGGAGCCCTGGAAACACAGCTCGGAGTCCGTGAGAAATGCACATACTGCAGCTGGAGTGCTGAGAATGGAGCTCTGCAGAGAATGTCGTCTGGTGAGTCTCCTGATGGCCCATAGCTAATGCTGTGCTGGCACCAAGTCACCTCATTCTGATTTAAACTCTCTTGAAATACGCTGAAATTACTAACTGGACTACAAAATGCACGTGGGAAGCTTCATGTTCCTAAGGAAATGCTTTAGGGATGTGCAGCTTCTGAACTGCACCAACAATCCCCGCTCCCACAGAAACCTGCTGGGCCGTGGTTCTAGGGCAAGGGTGGCAGAAAAGTGGCACCTTCAGTGCCACCCTAACAGGGATTTCCCTTGGAGCTCTCAGGATCGGGAGGAAATGGTGTTCCTGCCCCTCTGGGAAAGCGGGAGCAGGATCAGTGCTGCAGCTGTGTCTTTTTCCTGCTCTCTGCAGCTGTTCCAAGGATGCCCTGGAGTGCTCTGGCCCAGGGCAGGATAATCTGTGTTTAGAGCTTCCCCCGTGCCTGGGTGTGCAGCTGGGTCAGTCACTGAGCTCCCAGGGAACCCCTGAGGTTAGAAAAGCCCTTTGTGCTGCTGAAATGGCCCCAGGACAAACCTTCCCAAGCTGGAAGCAAAGCCAGGGGCAGGGAGGGAAATCCCAGAGGGTGGTGGAAGGGCTTTCTCCCAGGTCTGGACGCCTTCAAGGCAGGGGTGATTTCTAAGTGTTGTTAAATGCTGCAGCAGCTCCCTCCCCATGTGAGAGCTGCCTCAGCTTGGGTGAGTGTGAGGATATCCAGCTCTTCCTTAGGGCTTGGAGCATGGCAGAGCTCATGGTAAATCTTGTTGAAACACTTTTAATATCAAATGCATTAAAACAGAGACTTTGAGGAAATAACATGGAAAGGTCTGTTGCAAGCATAGGTACAAGCTGTCTTTATTAAAGATCCACATTGATGGATGTTTTGTCAAACCACTCTGAGGATTAACCCCTTGTTCTTCTGCTGGTAGGGCAGCATCTGACCATAGGTCTCGGGGCTTTGTGGAGATTCTTCCCTGGAGCAGGGTCACCCATGAGGAAGAGCCACAGAGGTTCAGTTCTTGGAGCAGGTGAGGATCTCTTTCTACTTAGTAATTGCTTTTGCTGGTTTTAGTGTCACAGCTCCAGTGTTCCTTCAGACATTGTGCCCTGCAACAGCACTTGCAGCTCCTGTGCTGGGTTGGGAGCAGTTCTGCTGTGGGAAATGGACTCATAGAAAATTGTCAGAGTTTGACAGAAGGTTTACATAGTATGTATCTGCATGGAAATTTTGAGATATGCCATGGAATAGGACAGACGTTGAGAGAGAAATGGAACTAGAAACAAGTTTTAAAGGATGAGTTTATAAATAAGACTAGATACTTTAGAGAAATAGAACTAGGAAAGATGCATTGTAATAAGATTCATGAGGGAAAATTTTAGATGTTTGGTTTTAAGGTGTTTACAGCATAGTGTAGCAAAAGCTGATAGGCCAAGAAAAGCTTATTATAATTAGGAAATACTTGGCTTCTGATTGTGATGGTGTGAATTATAACATCTGTATTGTCTCACCCTTCATGTGAGACTGAAAATGGAATAAAAGTTTTTAAAAAAACTTCTCAGTTGCCCCATCTCTGGGTCAGAAAAGGGCATAATCTGATAAACTGGTGCTTTGTGTGAGGAAGATTTATCTCTCTCAATGTCCTATTCCATAGCATTTCTAAGTCAGCATTTCTTATCTCAAATTCTGCATACTTATGCACACTATGTGAGCCTTCTGTCAAGCTTTGAGAATTCTCTACAAATCCATTTCCCACATTCCGGGCAGGGCTTTCAGTCCCATCAGTGTCCATTTAAATCAAGCTTGTGTCATATTTCCATCAGTCTCTCTGGCCTGGCACCCTGGGTCCCAGGGGACAGAGCTGTCTCAAGGTTCAGTCCCGTCTGTACTGAGTCCTGCCAGCGTTTCCAGCAGCAGCTGCTGGAGGCACCAAGGGCTGCCCTTGGAGCCTGGCTCTCCCCTGGGCTTTTACAGAGCGTTACCAACTCTGCCCTTCAGGATCCAGTGGTTATTTTGAACACTGATCCTACAGCTGGATAGTTCAGCTGGCAGGGATTGGAGTCAGCTCTTGGGCCCAAAACAGGGTTTGTCCCACAAAGACCAGCTGAACTTTCTGAGATAACACACAGATGATACACTGGACTTTGGGGTTAATAGTTAGCATTGCCAGGTGATTATTGTAAGGTTGAACTGAAGTGATCTTATGGTTGAGAGCTGCATCTTTCCTCCTGCTGGCAGAGGAGGCAGAGCTGGGACAGGGCAGCTCTTCCATTCCTTGGTTCCACCAAATCCTGTGTTTTTCTTCCTGGGGCTACTGTGGCCATGGATTCCCTAAGTTACAGGTAAGAGTTGTGCTGACATTGGAGTCTTGGAGGAAAGCTGGGCTGGAATGTGGCAGGAGATACTTCATGTGGAATGTGTTCCTGAGGCTGTTACAAGTGCCTGGCTTTTCCGTGTGAAGTTTTAGGGAGGATATTGTTACAAGGTAAATGGTCCTTCATGTGCAAAGTTCTACTTTTGTGTCAAAAAGCCTTGGGAATGCTCAGGAACGCAGCGTAGGATGTTTGACCTCAGAAATGGGTCCTGTTTGGTATAAAATACCCATTTTTTAGTGGTTTGTGTTTTTTGTGACCTTGGAGGAGTGTGGGGCTGACTAGTCAGCTTGGTGTCTGAGAAGGGGAAGGTGTCTGGGTTCCAGCAGCACTCCCAGGGCTGCTGCTTTGGGTGTGACACAGAACACAGCAATATTCCTGCTGTGCAGATGTGGCAGGGAGTGCAACAGCAAGTGGCAAAGCTGGGTTTTGCTCCCTAAATCCCAGAACAGCTGGGTTTAAGTTCCATCAGCCAGAGGAGGGAATGAGCCCTGGTGCCAGCCCTCCTGGGGGCACTGGACAGGTCTCACCATTTCTCTGCCATCATTTGCATGGTGTGATTCTCCCTTGAGCAGAGAGGGCAGAAAATGAGGCAGGAGGGGAAGCTAATTTTGTTTCTGCGAACTCCAGGCTTGGGGCAGCTGCAGAGCACTTTGGGTTCAAATAATCCTGCCCAAATACATCAGCTCAAACCTCTCTTGGGCACTTTTGGATCCCTCTGTGCCACTCCTCCTCTGATCTTTTACCTGCAAGGTGTGGGCTCAGAAACATCTGCCTACTGGATGGGTTTTTACACATACAAATTTATTTTCTTAGAAAAGCTATAAGGGTAATGAAAATCTGTGGAGAACAGGTGGTTGGTGCACTAGGTGATGGTAGGTCTTGGGCTTTTCTTCTTTTCTTTAACCTGCTCTTAAGAGGACCCCTAAACTGGAAAACTGAAAGTTTGGGGGTGGGGGGGAAGTTCTTTTCACTTTTTAAGTGTTGCTGTGGGTTTTGGTATGTCAAGTGACCCTACCAAAACAGAATTGGAATAACTGAACTTCAGGACTCTGCACTTAGTTCTTTTAAGGTGTTTGTGTGGGTGCAGGAAATGCCAAATCCCAGAACAATTCTGTGTCCGCAACATTAAGTGCAACATCTTTAAAGCCAAGTGCTCAGTGTGGGCTTTTCACGTGGATGCAAACGGTCCCAAAGCCGTTCCTGTGCCCCAAAAGCCAGAAGGAGCCTGCCAGAAGCAGCCTTCACTGCCTGTCTGGGATTTCAGTTTGCTGCTGGAGCCTTCCCTCCATCTTCCCTCGGGTTTTTGTGCCAAAGGGGTTCTGACCCCGGAGCCACACAGGGCGTCTGTTGCCTTGGTAAGTGCCAATGAAATTTGCCAAGTCTGTCAGGAAAGCAGAACCATCCTGGGGTTTGTTTGGCCAAAGGTGGAACATGAAGATGTCCGTAGCAGTGGTGGGTGTGGGTGCTGGCAGTTTTGGGTTGTGCAGTGCCTCTGGTCCCTCAGCAGTCAGGGCACGGCTGAAGCAAGGAGGGAAGCTGCAGGTGAGAGCAATATTAGCTGTTTCTTGCTCCAGAACTGGGAGTGCTGGAAGAACAGCTTTCCTCCTTCTTTCTCTCCACCCCTCAGCAGAACATTAAGATGGTGCTGCACTAAGCTCTCTCTTTTGTGGGTTGTTGCTTGATTGGGGTTTTTTTTTTTTTGGCTTTTTAACGTATTTCTAAGTGGTGCAGTGAGGAGCAAGTTGTTGGGTTGCATGACTTCTGACTGACGTATCACAGAAATGGGCATACGTGTATGCACGTGCTTCCTGGCAAATCCAGGTGTGACGTGGAAATCCCAAGTGAGGATGTCCAGCCTTGGCTACACGTGACACAGGCTTCTGAAAATGGAAATGGCCTTGGCAGAGTAGCAGCTGTGAAGCGAAGCAGAATTAAAATGCATGAGAGCAGAAGAACCAAGTGAAATGGTACTTCTGGGTGCTGTGTGCTCCTCCGGCCTCTGCCTGCTGTGAACACTTTGTGTTGCAGCTCGGTGTAGTCCAATTCAGTGTTTGTTTGGTTTGATTTTTGTGTGTAACAAAAACACTGGTCACTTACTCTGAACAACTTCCCTTCTTTACTGGACACATCCTGGAGTGGGACCAGACTCCCCCTCACCCTGGAGGAATTCCCTGCTCCTCTGGAGAGGGGTGAAGCCAAAGCTTAGGAGCAAAGGCAAACCACCAAACCAGGGACATTCTATATATATCCAAATAAGGGGCTCTGTCTTCCTGCTTTTCCTGTAGTTCTCCTTCCTGGTTTCACCTGGGCTGAAAGGATGGGCATGGCCTGTATTTATCATCTGAAAGTAGTGTTACTAAATTTGTCCAGAAGTTCTGATTACAGACACTCATTTTCTGCCAGAAAACATTTTCATTTCATTCATTCCACCCAGGATGGCTCTCTGTGGTCTCAGACAGTGTTCCCTGGGAGGAAGGGCAGCCTTTGCCTCGCTTGCACAGCTCAGGTGGATGTGACAGAATTGGTGTGGCCTGACAAAGCATGAGCAGCTGTCTGTGCACTGGAGTGCCTTGAAACCTTTCTCTGTGAGGTTTTGGACTGGTTTCTCCTTGGGATTTTCTTGTGACACAGCAACCCAGGTGTCCCTTCCTTGGTATAAAGTCCAATGGTAAAGAATTGAATGACTGACAAGTGGGGCCTGGGATAAAAATGGTTCTGTTAAAATTAGGCTAAGATTGCAATAAGAAAAATGAGCTTCCTTTTAATGTCTGAAATAGTTAGGAATAAAAATGCAGGAAAAGGGCACTTTTATATTTGAATTGGTGTCACCTCTCATGGATAAAACCCCATAGTGAGCAATCACAGCAGAAGTGTGAAAGCCGGGATCCTTTGACTTCCACAGTGAACTTAATGTTCTTTTCCTCCTCTCTTTCAGGACAGGAGAAATCATTGAGCTCCGCCCATCTTTGCCAGAAGCTTCAGTGTTTAAGCAGCCAGAGCCAAGAGGCTTCAGCACCAGGGGGTTGCACTGGAGGGCTCCTGGTCCTGCCCACGCTGTGGGGTAAGTCAGAGGGACGCAGGGTTCCCCTTTTCCTCTCTGCTGGGATTAAGTGCCTCGGGAATGCCATTTCTGACAGCCCAGCCGTACCCCTGTGTGCTGGGAAAGGGCAGCAGGGAAGAGGCAAATGCCAGAGTTCCTTGGGGCTGACGGAGCTGTGGTGTTTGGCTGTGCCCAGGGGGGCAGGCTGGGCATTGTTCGGGCACCCAAGGACTGGTCTGGGGCTGGGAGCCCGGGGAGCCGAGCTCTCGGTGCATTCCCAGCTCTGCCAGCTGCTGCAGGGCTGGGTGCCAGCCTCTGCTGGGGCTGGGGCAGGAGCTGCAGGGGAGGGCTGGCAGGATTTGGGAGCAGAGGGAGGAAAATGAGGAAGGGTGCTGGGCAGCGCTCAGCCTGTGCTGGTGTCAGCACAGCCGTGCAGGGCGCCGGGATCTGGGGTCAGCTCCGGCTCTCCTGGGGTTCAGGGTGCAAGGTCGGAGGGACTGGGTTTATCTGTGGCTTTCCAGGCCAGCAGGAACAAGGGGAATGTGGTGCCAGAGCTGTGTCCCATCGGGCTGCGCTTCCCTCTGAGCACAGAGAGTCTGGGCTGAGGGGAGATTGCTGCGAGTGCCCCGTGAGCAATCCAGGGAACTCGGAATTGCATCCGCTGCTGGGAACACTGCCTGAGCTCTGCTCAGGCTGTGTCTGCGAGGAGTGGGATTTGGGCTGCACAGGTGCTGCTGGGCACAGAAAATGGAGTAAATCCTCTCCAGGGACGTGCAGTGAAGGACAGTGCAGCAGGGAAGGGGAGTATTTACAAACTATATCAGTATTTCTCCCAAAACTGGGAGAAATGGGGTGGAGCAGAGATGGGGGTGGTCTGGATTTGTCTGGGCCTATTATTCCTTGTGCAAGGTTTTAAATCTGTTGTACAATTTACTCTCCAGTATCTTTCTAACAAAAGCTGACAAATTTAGGTTCAGGGTTAGAAGTTGGGTCCATTCTTGCCAAGGCTGGAGGACTGGGGTGATGGCTGCTCTCAGCAAAGGTTACCTATTAATACTGTGTCAGATTTCCCTCAGTGCTGGGCAGGCAAGGTGAGGGTTTGGATCAGGAATTCTGCAAACAAGGCCTGTGTGATGTTGGTTTATTGTGTTTTTCAGTGAGCTAGGGCTGGCACAAGGACTCGTGCAGGTGCTGCTCTGGCACTGGAGCTGTTGCCCTGTGGAGCCATTTTAAAGGTGTGATTATGGAACATTTTGGAGGCTGTTTCTGGAATTCCATTTGTAGCTGGATCTCACTCCGAGTGCAGCAGTCCAGGTGAGGGTTCTGACCTCTCCAGACTTGTGCTCACCTTGGTACAGCCCGGGGCTGGAGCAGTTTTCCAGGGAAGTGGAGATGGCTGAGGATGGGTGCTCTGGAAAGCAGGGTCCTGCTGGGATTTGCTTTTGCAAAGCTGCCGTGAAGTTTGTAAAACCAGCAGGAAATTCTAATTCCTGTGGTTTTTGGGGAGGAGGTGCAGGTCACCCTGAGAGCTAGACCAGAACTGGTTTGTGGTAAGGAGTCTGAGGTGTGTAAGTGCCACAGTTGGTATGAGCTGTGTGCTAAATGCAGTCCCAGCCCCAGAGGGAGGCTGATGGGCTCTGCTCATTGCTGTCCCCAGCTGTCCCCAGCCCGCTGCTCCCCCGTGGATCTGCTCTGGATTCGGGCTGTCGGTGCTGGAGCGCCCTGCTCCCTGCAGGGCCCTGCCTCTAACCTGACACAGAGAGAGTCCAAAGTTATCTTTTTTCATTTTTTTATCACTGTGCTGTTAGCAAGGAAGGGATGGGAGTGCTCTTGGGCTGGGATCGAGTCACTGCTCAGATAAACATCAGCCTCGGAGGCCATGAGGGTTTAAAGAGCAAGCAGCTGGCTGTAGCTCAGCAGCAGTCACAAGTTCTTTGTTCCAAGGCAGGCCAGAACTTTCTAACCTCGGGGTTTATTTGGCTTTTCGAACCCATCACCTCTGCTCAGTTCTGCCGCACTGAGGGTACTTTTGTTCAATGCCTTCTGTTGGAACTTGTCAGCTCTCAGTGTAGCGCACACAGCCCCAGCCCTGCCCTGCAAACCCTTCCCCATCGTGCCCACACAGTTTCCTCTCTCACTCACTCGGGGCAGGTTCTTACTGACAGCCACAGAAACAGAAGTTATTTTATGTTGTTTTATTCTTTTCCTGCGTAATGCCCGTGTCTTGTATTGGTACATCAATCCCAGCTTCTCCCAAGGCTGCAAATCAAATCTTTCAGTGTCTGTGGGAGTTTCTGGTTTTCCCATTCCCACGCCTCCCCTCTTTTTCTGTATATAAAAAAAAAATTTTATTAATGGATTTCTTAAGCATTTGTTGCATATATTAACATAAATAAGGTGTTATCATTATTATTATTATTGTAATAATTAAAATGTATACTTTTGTTTAAAAGTTTTTTAATTATGGTGTTAAATTTTATTTATTAAATTGTTGTTTTAGTAGTTATTATTATTTTTGATATTGCTTAAAGTTGTACATTTTTATAAGTAGATTTTGTGTAGTTAGATAAATTTATGCATTTTATTAAAATTTTTATATTTATGTTTGTGTGTTAATAAAAGAAATTTTATTGTTTTTTTGTAAAACTGCGTGTTTAATATTTAGTGTAAGGGATGTAGAATTAGATTGTTTATTTAGATAATATTTTAATTGATTTAATTGTTTTAGTGTTGTGGAAGTAATAGGTGGTATAAAAAGTGATGCTACCATTTTTATTTTAAGTTTCAAGGTTTAAAATTACTTCTATATATTGATTACTATTGATGGATAAATTACTTTTCTTTTAAATTGGTAATTATTTTTATATTAAGAGTTAATAATGTAAGAGGTTTTTTAATTATATTGATTATTTGAATGTTTTTTATTGGTATAGTAAGTAAGTAAAGAATGGATTTTTTTGAGTAGTGCTAGATAAATACAAAGTATTTAAACTTGAAACTTTAGTTAAAGTTATTCAAATGTTTGTTTTAGGTTGGTTAATTGGTAAAGTGATATAATTAAAAGTAAATAAAGTAGATAGAGTAGAAGTATAATACTTGATAGAATTTTATAATTTGTAAGTTATTAAATAAGATGTTTATAATATTGATTTTTATATTTATAAAGAAACTTAAAGTTTATAGTTTTTTGTGGGTGTCGTACAAGATGAATAAGTTGCAATTCTTGTGTATTTTACATTTGTGTAATTTACATTTGTATTTACATAGAGTAATTTATGTTTGTATTTACATTGTTTTTTTATTTGTGGAGTGGTGGGTGTGTTTTTTGTGTGATCTGGTTTTATGTTTCCTATTGAAATTTACTTGGGTTTTTCTACTTGTTGAGATATAAGTAAACTATGTTTTGATATGAAAAATAAAGTATTGTTACATTTTGTTTTATAAAATTAGCAAGAGATTTGCAAGATAATAAGTTATAACTTTTTAGTTATAGGTATGAAGAAATATAAGAATAAAATAATGTATGTAGTGAGGAAGAAATTGATAATAATTAGGAATTACTTAGATAATATCTATAATTAGTAACATAGGTGAAATTATATAATTAGTATTAAAAGATTGCACATTATTTTAGAGTTTATAACAGTTGATAAATGTTAAATTAGTGGAAAGTTGGATAATTATGTGTGGATAATGAGTTTTTCAGTTTATTTTAAAAATAAATTTGTTATACTGATAAAGTAAAATTGTTAAGTTAAAATTATTTTATTTTTGATGTAGAAGACACCTGGGTTTGTTGTTAATTATTTTATTTAGGTAGAGTTAGGGTTTGGTTATAGTTTAAATTTTAATTGGTGGATGTTACTTAACAACTATTTTTAAAAACATTATATAAAAATATATTAAGAGTAAAAATGTTAGGATTAAAGATTAATTACATTATTTAATAATTGGATTTTTTTAGAAGTTTTTAAGAATAGAGATGCTTTGAATATAATAAACATTTTTTTAAAATTTGAAAGTGGTTATTAACAGGATTGTGAGTTTGGATTTGAATATTGAGAGTGTGAAGGTGGAGGAAATGTATGAAAGACTGAATACTTAAGTGTGAAACTGAAAAATAAATTAATGTTGTAGTTGGATTTTTTATTTAAGTGATTTTGCAATAATAACTGAGGAAAGTGATAAGATGAACAGCTTGAAGGAGGTTTTTAATGAAGTTTCTTTTTTTGAATTTTGAAAAACAATTAAAAGTGTGAGATTACATTAGGTTAAATTATAGTTAGTGTAGAGATTAGTCAACTTGGTTTAAGAGATGTATAAATAGAGAAAAAAAGTAGGATTTCGAAATTGTATGTGTTTCTTAGAGAATTATATAAAGAGATGATAAAGTCTACGAAAGTTGGTTGTAAACATAATACTTTATAAATAATGTTTATTATAAAAATTAATATACTTGTATTATATAATTAGTATAGTAGTAGTAAGAGTTTGAAGAAGTTAGGATAACTTAAAAAATATTTACATATTAAGGAAATAAAGTAAAAATTTTAAAATACTGTAATATTAATAGCAATTACTATTTTTTGGTGTTATTTATAAAAGATAAAAATAGTAGAGATTGTGATGAAGAACAGAATTTTTGATGAAATTGATGATACAATAAACTGTGTTTCTTTTACTTCAGAATAGGTGTTTGTTAGTGTTTTATTTTAGTTGTTTTAATTGGAGTTTTTTTATTTTTCTTAAGAAAATTAAAATAAAATTTAGGAGAAGTTATATTAAATAACATTTAAATTTAGACTGAATGGATTTTGATAGTAAGGAATAATAAATTTAATTTTAATAGAATATTAAAGTGATAAAAAGAAACTTAATGTATTTAAATATATTGATATTTAATTTTGTTTGATTTTATAAAGACTTAACATATTGTTATTATTTCTGTTATTATTGTTATTATGTATAAATATTGAAGTTTTTTTAAGTCTTTTGGTTTTGGAGAAATTTTAGATTGTTGAGTTTATGATTATTACTTACATCTTTACAGGGTTTTTTTATTTATTGGGAGATATGTTTCTTAATAAAAGATTTTTATTTATGTTACATTACAAATGGTGCTAACTTGTATAGGTCTTTTTTAATATAGGATATTGATTAGATTGTTTTATATTTTTTGTGGGCTTTGACAAATATTTATTTACATGTTTAGGCTTTTCTATATTTGATGTTTTGATGGCTTTTGTTGTTTTTTTAAGAGTTTTTGATTTAGAATTTGAAGAGTATTTGGTGTTGGAGGAAATAAAGTTTTTGGATATGGTTGAGTTGTATTTTTAATGTTAGTAAGGACTACTTTTGGCACATTATTTTGATGTTTTGTTTGGTTATGGGGAGGGTCTCCTGTTAGATGTGTGAAGTGTGAGACAGGCATTAGGACTCTGTCTAATGGTTTATGAGCCTGTTAGGGAGGAGGTGTTATTTTAGGTCTTATAAAATACACTGAGAATTAGTTAAAATCATGGAAGAAACATTATGGTAATTAAAGGGTGTTATGTTAAAGAGCTATAAATCTTTTTTAATAACTGCTTGACATAAGGTGAGCTTAATCTACTTCTTCTGCCCTAGAAAGCATCAGGCATGTCCGCATCAATGGCACGACCTCTGCCCACTGCTCCTGTTTCACCCAACCAAAGTCAAGAGCAAAAGTTGGTTGGGCTTTAAGAACTTGAAATAACTTGGAAGCAAAATAAATCACGTTTTTCCCCTGTGTTTTTCCTTTCAGATGCTGTACTCGCCTCTGCACACACACACTGGGCTCTCACTGCAGGAACCTGTCAGGCCTCGGTGGCTGTGAGTTCATGTTCTTCTCACTGGGGAATTGAAATAATTGCTGGTTAATTGCAGAAATGTTTTCTGGAGCCTTTCCCCTTTTGTGCCCCTGTGCTGTGTGGGACAAGGGCAGAGGAGCCTCGGGCTGGAAAGGGGCGGGAGAAGGCAAAGGGACCCCCTGGTGTCCCCAGGGCTCTGTGGGGAACAGAACGGACACTGTGCGGGCACGGGGAGGTGAGGAGTGACAGTCTGGGGCCAAATCCCAGCTCACCCACAGGGAAATAAGTGAGGGACATTTTGGAGGGGAAAGCTGAGGCCATGAGTTCACCCAGCCTGGCCCAGTTGTGTTCAAACAAAGTGGCACCAGAGGCGAAAGTCAATCCAGAGCCCACCCTGCTCAACCTCTAAGTCCCAGAATAAATTCTACAAGCTGCCCATTGAGGGACTAAAAACACATGAAAGAGAACCAAGAGCAAACCAGAAGGTTCCTGGGAACCCCATTATAGTGTTGTTATAGCCTTTTTAACAGAGGTGTAAGTTTTTTATTACAATACTGCGTTTCTCTGCTGGGATCATTCACTCTGTGGACTGTGGGGATTTTTTGGGTTTGAACTCCCTCCCAGTGGCCCTGACACTGCTCAGGAGCTGGAGGAAAAGCAGAGTCAGTGCTCCTGGCAGGGGCAGGGAGTTTTGCCCAGAGCAGATCCAGCAGCTGCCCTCCAGCCCAGCGAGGAGGGATCTGCTTTGGCTCCTGGCTCCTGCAGGGACAGAACGTGTTCAGCTGATCCAGGTGACATTCCAGCAGCCTCATCTCCCATCCAGCCCACCCAGGAGGGATCTGCTTTGGCTCCTGGCTCCTGCAGGGACAGAACGTGTTCAGCTGATCCAGGTGACATTCCAGCAGCCTCATCTCCCATCCAGCCCACCCAGGAGGGATCTGCTTTGGCTCCTGCAGGGACAGAACGTGTTCAGCTGCTCTAGGTGACATTCCAGCAGCCTCATCTCCCATCCATGCTCCCGCCCCTCCTGCTCTCAGCTCCCACACCACCAGCTGTGCCAAGGGAATTTGTCCCACCAGCAGCAGGGGAAGGACACGAGCTCCCACCCTGGCACTTGGATTGCCCCTCTGGGGGATGCCAGCTGCTGGGATTTAGATCATCCTGTACATATGGCTACTGAAATTTCCCAGCCCAGGGGCTTTAGCACAAACATTATTCTCTGTGTGGTGCCCGGATTTGGGGTTCAGTATCAGCTTTGCTAGTTCAGATGAATTATACCCACAGCCCCAAATTCCCTACTGAATTCCTGCTGGAATAACCTGACAGTGCCTCTTGGAGAGTGGAAATTCCCATGCAGAGCTGCCACTTTAACACCAGCTGTGTCAGGAACCAGCAGAGGTTCCAAGGAAGCTCAGTAGGACAAGGACAGGTCTCTGTTCTATAGAACTTGCTATTTAAAACCCTCATCCCCCAGCCCAGGGCTGTGTCTGGAGTCACTTGACAGAGTTCCCTAGACCTCAGCTGATTTCACCCCCCGGAGCTCAGGCTCCAGCTGATGTTTCAAAGCAGGACAAGGCGGTGGCTGGATGCGCTCCCGGCCTGTGCTGAGGCAGAACATCTGTCCTGCAGAAGCTCTGCTCCTTTCAGAGCCTCAGCAGCAGCCTCAGGAAAGAGATGCACATCCCTGCCTGCAGCACGCCTCCAGTGGGACCCACCTGTGAGTTTTCCATCACTTCTGCACTTCCAGATGGAAATTTCTAAACATCATCCCACTCAAACCTCTGATTTCAAGGCATCTCCGAGGCCTATTGCTTGGCATTTAGTATCTGTGAGGGAAGATCGCCTCGGTTCAAGTGCTGCTGGTGGATGATGGCATCAGGCTGGAAAACAGGGAAGAGATTTGGGGTGGCTGGGACATAGCTGGCAGCTGTGTGGGAGCTCGGGGAGGTCAGAAACGGGGATTGCTGTCAGAGCCCCTCTGCAAACGGCCGTGCCTCCATTCCCAGGTGATGCCAGCCGTTCCCTGGGGTCCCTCTGGGCTGTCGGTGGCGTCTGTCCGGGCTGAAGCATCCCTGCGTGCCTGTGGGGAGCAGCCCTTCAGCCGTGTCCGGTGCCCCGGTGCCCGTGCCGGGCCGTGCGTTGGTCACGCTGCGAGCCACGGGCCGGGCACGGCAGCTCCTGCCCTGCGGAGCCAAGGACCGGAGGTGCTCTCTGCCCTTCGGGGGCTCCGGGCTCCTGCAGCCCCGCACCGGGCGCTGCCGGAGCGGGAGCGGCGGCCCCGGCGGAGAGGCCGCTCGGCCGCGGCGCTGCAGCCGCGCTCGTCCGGCGGGACTCCCCCGGGGATGCGGGCACGGGGAGGGGGAGCCGGGCGCTGCTGCTCGCAGGGGAGCGCGGTGGCCACGGGGCTCCCGGGACGAGGGGAGCTCGGCATCCCGCGGGGGCTGCGGGGCGGCTCCGTGTCCGCCCGTGGGGCCGGAGGCGGCGGTGCCGATGGGGTCCCGGCCCCGGCACAGCCCCGGCTCCCCGCGGCCACAGCGAGAACGGCACCCGCGCCCCGGGCCGGCTGCAGCCGGAGCAGCAGCGCCCGTCCCGGAGCGGCTCTACCCGCCCGCGGCGATGCCGGTCCCGATCCCGCTCCGATCCTCCGCCCCGGCACCCCCACCCTGCCCGCCGAGGAAGGAGCGGCTCTGCCCGGCTCCCACAGCAGCCACCGGCGGGACCGGGACCCAAATCCCCGAGCCCAGATCCCGATCCCACCTGAGCGCCTCGGACGCCGCGCAGCGCCGGGAGCAGCCCCGGTTCGGATCTCCGCACGGTGCCGGGAGCAGCCCCGATCCGATCTCCGCACGGCGCTCCGAGCGCCGGCCCCGCCGCAGCCCGGCCGAGCATCCCCCGCAGAACGCGGGGCCGGGGCGGATCCGCCGCCATTTACGGGCGGGAGAAAGGGGCGGGGTCAGCACAGGTGCGCGCATGGGCGGGGCGGGGCCGGGGGGATTTAAACGGCGGAAAGGACCCGGCTGCGCCATTTGCTGCTCGGCGCTCGGTGTCGGGAGCTGTGGTCGGCCGGGTCCTGTGTCTCTTTTTCTCTGTATTCCTTTTCTTCTACGTTTCTTTTCTTTTGTATTTCTTTTTTTCTATACCTTTCCTATCTACCCTCCCCCCCCAAGCCTCTTCCCTCCCTCCCGGGCGGTCCCCCCCTACACTCCCTTTCCTCTCCTCCCTCTCTGTTCCCCTACTCACCCCAACCCTACCCTATCCCTCCATCCTGTCCTTCTTCCTTCCCTCCCCAACCGGACTCCCCCGTGCCCTCTCTCCCTGCTCTTCTTCCCATCCTACCCCGGCTCCTCCTGCCGCCTTTCCGTGACACCTTCTCCCACTCCACACGTTCCGCCTCCTTCGCCAAACCTGCCTTCAATCTTCCTTTTCCTTCCTCCACCCTGCCTTCCCCCCAGCCCCCTCCCCGACTGCCCCGCACACCCCGACCTCTCCCTGTCCTTGTCCCCTTCCCCTCGACTGCCGCTCTGCTGCCCTGTTCTCGTTCCCCATTCCCTCTCTCCTTCTTTCCTCGCAGCCGCGGGGCTCGGGGTGCCGGAGAATAAAGCCCCGAGGGCCGGAGCCCGGCGCCCCCCGCCCTCGCTGGGGTCCCCACACGGGGCAGGAGCCGCTCTGCGGGTCCCCCATTCCGGTCCAACACAGCGCCCGACACTGCCGGGGCTCCTCTGGCTTTCCCGACATCACACTGGGGGTCGGGCCGGGGGGCAGGGAGGGTCCCCTCCGGAGGGGGTCCTGTGGGTGGGGTAGGGGTTCGGAAGGGCCAGCACCTTCCACAAGCTTGTGAAATCTCTGTGCCTATCAGCAGCGGTGGAAGAGGATGCGGACAAGACAGGTGACTTGTCTTGTTCTTATCACTCATGTTACAAGGCAGTGGTGGGAGCAACTAGGGAATTCCGTGGCTTTTTTAATCCATTCAATCAACTCTCCCATATCCACCCAGGCTCATGGCTTCCCAAAGCAGAAGCTGTGTCTTTGGTGGGACGGGGGCAGGGGTGGGCAGCACAGAGCGTGGCCACACTGTGAGGTTTTCTGACACTACAACACTGCCACTCCCTCTAAGAAAACTTCCCTTTCAGGGACAAAATTTGAATAAAAGGTGTAAAGGAAATATAATTCCAAGAGGGGGAATAGTCTGCAAAAAAGCCCAGCTCCACTGGGCCTGGATGCTGATCCCTGTTGCTGCTCAGTGAGAGCATCTGACAGGTCAGATTTCCAGCTGCTTTATTTAACAGGAAACTGGTTTGTTCCTTCTTGTGAGTAGGATCATTGGCTTTGCATGGGCAAAGCCACTCTGGATTTTCCAGCTGTGAAAAGAGTTAGGGAACTCTTTGAAAACATAGTCCAGGAGGTACCAAGCAGCTTAGCTTGGTAATCCTGTGGGGAAATAGAAGAATATCTGTTCTGATTTTTCTTTCCTCTTTCTTCCACAGCTGTGTCTGTATTCCTGACTTCCATTTACCTTGGAGACATGTGGCTTGGAGCACAGGAGCTGGATGTGTTACTTACTCGTGTCAGATTGATCTGCACTAGTGCAGATTATGAGTTACAGGGTGACTCAGACACTCGGAAACAAGGGGAAGAAACTGTTATGTCTCTATGCAAAAAAATTTGGCTCCATCAGGGCATTAATTCAGGGGACTAACACTTCACCTTTAACGTTCTTCTCTGCTCCGTCCGCATCACCGTGAGAGCCTCCTGAGATGTCCTCATATAGACCTACTTGTTTGGTCAAAAAGATCAGTATTTTATTACCGGGTGCAAACTCAGGGGGAAGATTTGATTCAACATCTCTCAGTGGGAACTTAAAGTTCCAATTTCCCTTTTCTTGAACAGTTTGAGAGATGATATTACTTATGTCATTTTTATTACAGGCATTTTTACTTTCTGAAGAACCAAAAAGACTGTTTGAGCATGTGTCTCAGCAGCAGGCCCAGCACAGGCAGGCAGGTTTGGAATTTTATTTGCTATGCTGCAGGTGTATTCAAGACATCGTTCCTCTTTGTTTGATAGAAGGAAGACAAAAAACTAATTCTTAGCAAAAGAGGATGTTTTCTTTCCTGTCTATCAAGCAGCCAAATACCACCAGCTAGCTATCCATATTTTAAAATCAGCTGGAGAACTTGCATCCCAGGGACCTGGGGACTGTCTGAAGAGAGCTCTGGCCAGCTCTGTTAGCTGTTAAGCACCCCTGGAACAGCAGAGAGGAGGCTGGAAGAGTTCCAGTGCCCCAGTACCCAGAGACCCACCTGGTCAGGGCAGGTCACTCTTAGGCAGTGCTGCGACTGACCTGGGCCCAGGCAAAATCACAGAACTGGAGCTGAGCTAAGACACAACTGAAAAAGTCTTTCAAAGGACAGGGAAGCTAATTCCAGACTCTGTGGGTTTGGACAAAGACAAGTGCAGTAACAATGTCTGATATCATTTTCTGAGGGAGGTGTGATTGGAAGGATGAAGGCACATCTGTAATTTACTATGAGGGTGCTCATGCACCACATCCAAATACTGAATGGAGTTCCTCATGGTGAGTGATCCGTCTGGAGCCAACAGGGAGCCCCGGGGCCCTGGACTGAGCCTGTCCCAGAGCAAGAAACAGGGATGAGGGATGAGACATGCAGATCTTCCAACTCTCTGGGCACCCAGCTTGGGTTTCTCTCCAACATTACACCGTCTGTAGGAAGGTGATAGCCAGAAGAATTGTGTTGTGCATGGCTATCAGGAATGCACAGCCTCCAGTGAAGTGCATGGGACACCTGGAAGGAGCTGGCCCTGTCCTCTTTCTGCTGTGTGAAGTTCCAGCCTTGGCCAGGAACCATCTCTGGCTGCAAACCCTTATTTTTCTGTGTCATTTTGGATGTTAATACACATCATTGAAGCAAACGTTAATTCTCTGCATCCCAGCAGCGTGATCATCAGCTGCCTTGGCAGGCAGATGGGTTTGAAATCAGTGGTCCTGTGCTCCAGACCTTTTGTCTTATTTCTGTGGGATCGTGCAGTGCTGACAAGAGGGACTGGGACATGGACACCTCAGGGCAGGGCTTGTACAGGCATCAGCCTTCCCCGCTCTCCCAGAGGCACCCATCAAAGCTGGCACCAAATCACTCGGGATTGCAGAGAAGTGTGTGCTGCAATAGGATCATGGATTCCATCCAGGACCTCTCCGTGTCTCAGGATTCCACTGTGGCCTAAGTGGAGAGAGCTGTTGCGTGGCCTTTGGAAGGCACTGTGGCAGTGCCTGGTTTGTGTGCCGATGTGCAGAACAAGGAACTCTTCTCCAGAGGGCGGAGGGCCCTGGCCAGTAGAGTTAACCCTTGGAGTAACGCAGTGGGGGAAGAGGTGGGTGTCATGCACAGCCAAAATTGCATCAACGCTGCATCAAAAGAGGTGGGGGAATGGGGGGGATTCTGCCTCTCTCCCCCACCTGGGTGAGACCCCACCTGCAGAGCTGCCCCAGCCCTGGGCTCCAGCACAAGAAGTATGTGGAGCTGTTGGAACAAGCGCGGAGGAGGCCATGGAGGTGCTCTGAAGGGTAGAGCCCCTCTGCTCTGGAGCCAGGCTGGGAGAGCTGGGGGTGCTCACCTGGAGAGGAGAGGGATCCAGGGAGAGCTCGGTGCCCCCTCCAGGGCCTGAAGGGGCTCCAGGAGAGCTGGAGAGGCACTGGGGACAAGGCCTGGAGGGACAGGACACAGGGAATGGCTCCCACTGCCAGAGGGCAGGGATGGATGGGATCTTTGCAAGGAATTCCTGGCACAGGGTGCCCAGAGAAGCTGCCTCCTCTCACCAGGACGTGGGTGAGCTGGGAGAGCACAGGGGGTCCTGCATGTCCCTGGGCTTGACAGAGATGGATGAGCAGAAAAACGGTGAAGGCAAAAGTTCTCCAGCCTTGACCGGGGACGTGAGTGTGCGTTTGTTGGGTGAGTGTCTCAGGATTATTGTAAGAAAAGAGACGTGAGGTTTCCACAGAAATACTGGATGATTGTCATGCCAAGGGCAGTGCGTGGGGGACACAGCAGAGAGGATGACAGGGCAGGGGGTGCAAGTTTACACCAGTGGCTCCTTTCAAGCACTTCACTGGGTTTCAGTGCTGGAACTGGGAGAAGTGGAATTGAAGTGGGGCTTAATAAACAAACAGAACTCAAGCAAAAAGGACAAGTTTTGTGGGTGACTGGGTTTAATAGTTTCTTCAGTCCTAAAATTATTTTCTCACAGTATTTTTCAAGCCTAGAAAAATGATAACATTGGATGGTTTCAAAGCCTAAACAAATCTCATTGAATGCTGTTTTTCATTCATGATTTCTGGGCACTCCAGAAAACATTTCTAGACTTGCCTTGTTCACAATGGCTCCTTTGATGGCCAGAATTGAATACATGAGGGATAAATATGTGTATTTTTAAGCCGAGTATTTTGCTCAGTAACATGATGAAAAAGTGCAAAAAGCTTTAAAAATGAATACTTTGTTTTAGTCTTGAAAGAGCTCTGAAATTTTCAAGTACACAGACTTCTCCTGCCAGTTTTTTAGGAACAGTAAATTTTTGGTAACATGCCTCTGTTACCCTGCAATTTCACATCCATTTCCATGTCTGTTGTGTTGTTAGTCTGCCTCCTGCTTTGTGGTTTATTTGGGCGGTAAACTGCCTTTTTTTTATTGTTTTTGTTACCTTTTGTGAGCGTGCCAGAGGCCCTAGGGTGCCAATAAATGAGAATATTAGTGCTCCCTTTGACTGCTGTTTCCCTTTGCTTGTTTGTGACCTAATCCTGAATCTCCGCCCAGCCTGCTGAGCTGAATTTTCTGATCAGATAAGGAGGAGCAGTGGGTTAAGAGACACTCTGACCAAATGCTGACAGAAGTGTCCCCTCTGTGCAGTTATAAACGTTATGTGTCATTGCTGGGT